ATGGGTTCTGAGGGAGACGAGATGGAGACCAGTGGCATAACTCATGATGGAGATATGTTCAAGTTGACCGCTGACAACTTTACTTATTGGAGACCGATGATGGAAGATCATCTCTACTGCAAAGATTTGCATGAGCCCATTATCCTTGATGAGAAACCGGCAGGCAAAACAGATAAGGAGTGGGAGATCCTGAGTCGGAAGGCGGTAGCCACGATCAGGAAATATATTGATAAAAACCTCTTTGAGCACGTGTCCGAATTCACGAACGCGTATGAGTTGTGGACAAAATTACAGTCCATGATTCAGAAGAAGACTCCCAGGAACAAAGCACACCTGGTTCGCCGACTTGTTAAGCTTGAATACAAGGACGACACGAGCATGATTGAACACCTGAACACCTACAAAGGTATTGTGAATCAGCTGTCAAAGGCTGATATGAAAATTGATGAAGAACTGCAGGCATTGCTGCTGTTGAGCTCGCTGCCAGAAAGCTGGGATACTCTGGTGGTGGCCCTGAATAACTCGACTCCAGATGGAAAATTGAAGATGGATGTCGTGACAGACAGCCTCCTGGGCGAAGAATCCAGGAGAAGAGAACGAGGTACTTCGAGTACGTCTGAGGCCAACGTTGCTGAGAACAAAGGGAAATCTGACTCCCGCGGTAGAAGCAAAAGCCGAGGTAGAGGTCGTGACAGACGAGACAAGTCCAGAGGTCGGTCAAAGCCGAAATATGAGTTGAAGTGCTTTTACTGTGGAAAGAAAGGCCATAAGAAGCCAGACTGCTGGACCCTGCAGAATGATGAGAAGAACGGCTCTGTGAAGTCGGATCAGATTATTCCCAAGAAGAGGGAAGACAAGAGCACCACTGCGGTGGATGTAAACCCTGATGCCGAGATATTTCTCCTTGGTGAGGATAATTATTTGAATGTTGCATATGATGACTGCACCTGGATTGTTGACTCTGGTGCCTCATTCCACGTTACTCCACACAAAGGTTTTTTCTCCTCTTATCGAGGTGGTGATTTTGGAGTCGTGAAGATGGGAAATCAAGTGACCAGCAAGATTGTTGGTGTCGGTGATGTAACTCTGACCACAGATGTTGGATGCCGACTTGTGTTGAAAGACGTAAGGCATGTTCCTGACATGCGTTTGAACCTAATCTCGGTAGGCAAACTTGATGATGCCGGGTTAGTGAACTATTTCGGTAGTGTGAGATGGAAGCTGGCCAAGGGAAACTTGGTCGTGGCTCGAGGTAAGAAGGAAGGCTCTTTGTACGTGATGCAAGGAAAGATCAATGGCGGAGAAGCCAATTCTGTTCGAGATGAACCTAGCTTGGAGCTATGGCACAAGCGCCTCGGCCACATGAGCGAGAAAGGGCTACAGATCCTGAACAAAAAGGGATTATTGACCGGGTTGAAAGGCCAAGCGTTGGAGAGTTGCACGCACTGCCTAGCTGGAAAGCAGCACCAGGTTTCTTTTGTGAGACCAGATCAACCTAGACGACGCAGGTATATTCTTGACCTCGTCCATACTGATGTCTGCTCCATGTCGGAAAGATCCCTTGGAGGAGCTCAGTACTTTGTTGCATTTATTGATGACCATTCCCACAAAGTGTGGGTATATTTGTTGAAGTCTAAAGACCAAGTACTCCAATCCTTTAAAGAATTCCATGCGATGGTTGAAAGAGAGACTGGCAAGAAATTGAAGGTGGTCCGATCTGACAATGGTGGTGAGTATTGCGGCCCATTTGATGCATACTGCAGAGCGGCCGGGATCCGACTTGAGAAGACGCCCCCCAAGACTCCACAGTTGAATGGACTGGCTGAGAGGATGAACAGAACTATTGAAGAGAAGGTCCGAAGCATGTTATCCAATGCCGGATTGCCGAAATCATTATGGGGAGAAGCCGTCAAAACTGCTGTTGATTTAATCAACCTCTCACCATCACGACCACTTGAAGGAGAAATTCCAGAAGAAGTCTGGACAGGTCGGAAAGCGGCCTACAATCAATTGAAAGTTTTTGGATGCCGAGCTTTCGTGCATATCCTTAAAGATGAAAGGGCCAACCTTGATGCAAAGACAAAAGAATGCATCTATCTCGGTTCACCGAAATCCGAGTTCGGGTTCCGACTTTGGGATCCCATCAATAAGAAGATCGTGAGAAGCCGAGATGTGATCTTTTATGAGCATGAGAACATTCATGACATCTCGAAGCCCAAAGTTCGGGTTACTGTCAGACGTGAAGAACCCATCCGTCCTGTCCGAGTTGAAGCAGGGGGAGAAAATCAAGAGAATGAAGAAATTGATGACCAGCAACAAGCTGAAGATGACCAAGACATTGAGGTCCGAGTTGATGATGAGATCCGGGATGAGAATGATGAACCGGGTCCTCAAGCTGAAGAACAGCCGAGATATCCAACTCGAGAAAGAAGACCCTCTATAAGATACCCATCTGATGAATACACTGTTGTAGCTGAAGACGGTGAGCCTCAGAGTTATGATGAGGCTGTGACGAGCTCAGAGAAAGAAGAATAGGAAAAGGCAATGCAAGACAAGATGAAGTCTCTGCACGAGAATCAGACTTATGAGCTGACCGAGTTGCCAAAAGGAAGACAAGCTTTGAAAAAAAAATGGGTCTACAAGATTAAGAATGAAGAGAACGGGCAAAAACCGAGATACAAAGCCCAGATTGTAGTGAAAGGCTGCAATCAGAAGAAAGGAGTTGATTTTGAGGAGATTTTTTCTCCTGTGGTGAAAATGACCTCGGTCCGAACCGTGTTAGCCATGGCGGCTTCGATGGACCTCGAGGTAGAACAAATGGACGTGAAGACGGCATTTCTTGACGGTGATTTAGAAGAAGAGATATATATGGAGCAACCTGAAGGGTTCCAAGCTCCAGACCAAGAAGACTTGGTATGTCGATTGAAGAAGAGCCTCTATGGCTTGAAGCAAGCACCTCAGCAGTGGTACAAGAAGTTTGAATCATTCATGACTGATCATAAGTTTGAGAAGACGGAAGCCGACCACTGCGTATTTGTGAAGAGGTATGAGGCAGGAGATTTTTTGATTTTGTTGTTATATGTTGACGACATGCTTATTGTAAGGAAAGACAAATCGAGGATAGCCGCCCTGAAAAAGGCGTTGAGCTCGTCCTTCGCTATGAAGGACCTCGGCCCTGCAAAGCAGATTCTCGGAATCAAGATCATCCGAGATAGACAGAAGAAGCTACTGTGGCTGAGTCAAGAGAAATATATTGAGAAGATACTGAAGAGATTCAGTATAGACAAAGCCAAAACAGTGAGCACCCCCTTTGCCGGACACATAAAGCTGAACCAGAAGCAATGTCCGAGATCTAATGAAGACAAAGATGAGATGATGAAGGTCCCGTATCAATCCGCCGTCGGAAGCTTGATGTATGCAATGGTTTGCACTAGACCCGACTTGGCGTATGCTGTTGGAATGGTAAGCCGGTATTTGTCAAACCCCGGCAAAGAGCACTGGGAAGCAGTGAAGTGGATCTTCAAGTACCTCCGAGGTACAACCGACTTATGTCTCCATTTTGGAGAAGGTAAAGCCGAGTTGCAAGGCTACTCAGATTCTGATTTAGGGGGAGACGCCGACTCGAGGAAGTCGACTACAGGATATTTGATGAGATTTGTCGGAGGAGCTGTCTCTTGGCAATCAAGACTTCAGAAATGTGTTGCACTATCGACAACTGAGGCTGAGTACATTGTCGCTACTGAGGCAAGCAAATAGATGCTGTGGATGAAGAAGTTCCTCATGGAACTCGGCCATGATCAAGACAAGTACGAGCTGGGTTGTGACAATCAAAGCGCAATCCATCTTGCGAAGAATTCAACCTATCACTCCCGCACTAAACATATTGATGTGAGGTATCACTGGATCCGGGATGTGGTGGAAGGTGGAGAGCTCGAACTCGTCAATGTGCACACTGACCAAAATTGGTCCGACATGATGACAAAACCGGTTCCAGCAAGAAAATTTGAAGACTGCTGTGAAGGAGTCGGGTTGATGCTGAAGCCGACGCGTTGAAGTCGTAGGGGGAGATTTGTTGGGCTTCCTCCTTTAATGCTAAGCCCAAGCCCATTTGAGGGGTTTCCTAAAAATCCTAACCATAATTCCCACCTCCTCTATATATACTCATTAGTTGAGGGTGGAGGCAAGGTTAGATTTGAAAAGGTCAGATTTGAGAGAACAAATTTGAGAGAATTATTTGATTGTTTGAGCAAAGCTTTATGTTTTGCATTTGAGAGATCTCTAGAGAGAGTTTGAGTGAAACATCTCTAGGGTAGTTTGATTATCACCATTGTTGGAGAGGTTGAGTTAACCACCACATTAGTGTATTTGATTCGTTGTAACCATTATTTTCATAGTGGATTTCTGATCTGGACTAGGTCCCGTGAGTTTTTTACTTCTTCATAGGAGAAGGTTTTCCCACGTTAAATCTGGTTGTGTTCTTCTTCTCTCTCCTGTTTTTCGTTTTGATTTTTTCGCTGCGCTGCCTGACCTGGTGAAGTTCAGGCCGAGGTATTGCCGAGATACGAGATCAGGATCTTGTTGATTGACTTCCGTAAAAGGCCCTTGAGCTGAGCTTGAGGGAACCGAGATGTGAGTCTTTGTGAGATACCTCACAAATATTACGTTTTATAAGACAATTTTGCCTGATCAACTTTACCTAATATTCATAGACAAAACGGAAATTATCTTTATTTTGCATGTGACACAAGTAGTAGTATTAAATTTTAATTAATAAATTAAATGTGAAATGGGTACAAATTATTTAATAAATGGGGAAAAAATGTACTGGTTACCGTTTCTTTCTATCCATTAATGGCGTTATTTCCATTATTCAGCATTTGAGCTCACTGATGATGTCAGCAATGGGCCCAGCCCATTGACAAAGTCACTCAGGTCCTTACAAATAGCACATATTGGCACCACTGCCACATGCATTCACTCACTCACTCCCATCATAAATACGCGCTGTTGGCCTCTCATAAGAGCAACGTTCTCATTTTTCCCTTCTCCTTTGCAACTGAAATGGCGTCACAAGCAGAATCGCAGCATCCCAGAAAGGCTTTCGGATGGGCAGCTAGAGATTCATCTGGTGTTCTTTCCCCTTTCAACTTCTCCAGAAGGTACTCTCTCTTCTCATAACTCTTTTCTCTTCCTATTATTCATTACACAAAGGTGATCCGTGTCGTGGATAAAAGGTTTTTGTTTTTTTGTTGCGTGACAAAATAAAAAAACCATTTTGTTGAGGATGATATGTGATGTCAAATGCTGATTAATTTTAAATGAGTTTTGTTTAGATGCTTATTTTATTTTATTTTATTTTTGTCAGGGAAACGGGGGAGAAAGATGTGACATTCAAAGTGCTGTATTGTGGGATATGCCACTCGGACCTCCACATGCTGAAGAACGAGTGGGGCAATTCCATCTACCCTCTAGTACCTGGGTACGATACGATAATGATAGTGCTGTTTTTCTTTTTTACTTTCATTGGGTGTGCTCCTAGTAATCATGTCTTGTGCAGTTATGCATGTTGAACTTATTTTTTTAATGACTGAATGTGTAAGACTATTATAAACTGAATTCTAAATTCTAGAGTGAATCGATGGGTAATTAAAAAATTAGATCCCAACCAAACACCCTTGTCACAAGTGTTAAGAAACTTGTCCCTCAACAAGAGATCTAGTGTTTGAAAAAAATGATCTTGGAAGAGTCGCTCTCTCTGTAGAGTCTAACAATGCTCAAACCGGACTGATCCGAGAGAATAAATCAGTTGAGCGGAATAAAAAATTAGATCCCAAATCTACTTACAGTCTAGAAGGCAATATTCCATCTTTTGTCCTCCATCCACTTTATTTTAAAATAAGATAAACAGAGGAGAAAAGGGGAATACTATAATTACAAAAGGAACTAATTTTTTCCTTCATTCTTTGTTGTATTGAATTTTCCATATCATAACTGTTTTGGTAAACAGGAACCGGAATCCTTAGTTTTCCAAAATTACCTTCATTACATGGTTCTTTATGTGATCCCAACTGTTGGTGTTGTCCCCATATGACCCGAAATTCAAATGTTTGATTCATGTAATCAGCTTCTTGTAAATGCAAGATGATGTTTAATTGAATGTAATAAGGGAAACCTTTGCACAACGGTTGGTATTGTCACTACATGACCCAGAAGTCACATATTTTATTGCTGCCTCCTATAGATTTCGATTCGTGTAATCAGTTTCTTGCATAGCTACCTACTCTAGACCATTTCAATAACCGTTATAGCTGGTGCTTATAGCATCATGTTGCCCTTTATTTTTTTATTTTTTTTTTGATAACAATGTTGCCCTTTATTTTATATATTCTGAACAGTGTTCTAAATTTCAAGTTTGATTGCCCAACTTGTTCGATCACACAATTAACCTTTTGTTTCTCAATTTAAAAGGTTGAGAGTGATATGTAAATAGTGATTCATCATGTGACCTTTGATTTTAATTTGTGTAGGCATGAGATTGCTGGTGTAGTGACAGAGGTGGGAAGCAAGGTGCAAAAGTTCAAAGTTGGAGACAAGGTTGGTGTGGGATGTATGGTTGGATCCTGCAACTCATGCCAAAGCTGTGCAGATGATCTTGAGAACTACTGCCCAAAAATGATTCTCACATACGCTGCCAAGTATGTTGATGGCACCATCACATACGGAGGCTACTCTGACACGATGGTTGCAGACGAACACTTTGTTATCCGCATTCCAGATGGCATGCCACTTGATGCTGCTGCACCTCTCCTTTGTGCTGGGATCACAGTGTATAGCCCTTTAAGATATTTTGAACTTGACAAGCCTGGTCTACACGTGGGTGTGGTTGGTCTTGGTGGGCTAGGTCATATGGCTGTGAAGTTTGCCAAAGCTCTTGGAGCTAAGGTGACAGTAATTAGTACATCCCCTAACAAACAGAAAGAGGCTATTGAACAATTAGGAGCTGACTCATTTGTGGTTAGCCGGGAGCAAGATCAGATGCAGGTACGTGTTGGAAATTTGCTCCTTTGCTGTGAATACATACTTACCAGGAAGAAATAATCAATCACAACTTCTAATGTTCTTTATTATGTAGGCTGCAATGGGTTCCTTGGATGGTATCATTGATACTGTTTCAGCAGTCCATCCTCTCTTTCCTTTGATTGGTCTGTTGAAGAATCATGGTAAACTTGTCATGGTTGGTGCACCGGAGAAGCCTCTGGAGCTGCCGGTATTTCCTTTACTTATGGGTAAGCATATAAAAAATAATGCTATAAACCATGTACATTTTCAGTAAAGAGCCCTGTGCATGTCCGAATTGAAAAAAAACCTTGCCATTGATGGAGAGTTCACCATTAATTTTTGGTATACTACTTTGATGGTCAGCAAGCATCCTTTAGGATGCTCTAGAGCTGTAGTGCAAAATGGACTACAGAATGATTTGAAGATTAAAATTGAATTTTGAAGCTTACTAATACTCCATATTATTGGCAGGGCGAAAGATTGTCGGTGGCAGTTGCATTGGAGGGATGAAGGAGACACAAGAAATGATTGATTTTGCTGCTAAACACAATGTGAAACCTGAGATTGAGGTTATTCCAATAGATTATGTGAACACTGCAATGGAGCGCCTACTCAAAGCAGATGTGAAATATCGATTTGTTATTGACATAGGAAACACGCTGAAAGCAAGCTCTTGAATATAAAATATGCATGATTCAGATTTCAGAGACTGAATGTTGGGCAAGAGGAAATGGCTGATTGTTGATCCTTTTTTTTCAGTACTATTTCTCTCTTGTTTAGTGGGTTTTTGCTTTGAGGATTTTAGCTCTTCCTCAGTTCCTTGATAAATAAGTAAACGTAGAGCATATAAGCTCGGTCGTAATCCCCTTGTTTGAGATGAAAATCGTTTTGTACTACATTAAAGAGAGACATTCTATGTGTTGTTCTCACCTCGATTGGTATGAAAAAAAGTTGAATTAAACATTTGAAGTGGTTGAGCAAGTGTGTCATGAATTAACAAAAAATACCTGGTTTTCCATTTTTTTTTTGTTAGAAGGGAGAACAAAGAAGAAAATTTGGCACCAACAGGATTATTTTAATTAACTATTGAATGAGTTTAAATTTGATTCATTGTCCACGTTATGAAAAAGTTAGATATTATAGTTGTGACTGTTAAATTTTTTAATAATTCAATAATACGTGATTGGAAAATACTTCAAATTAATTTAAATTCATGAATATTAATTTCTAATTCATTGAAATAAATTTTATTGTAAATAAGTAATAACCATTGCATAGTAGTCAATCGTTTAGCATATGTTTTAAGTGCAGAGTAAATTCAATGCTAGTTACCCGAGGGAAGTGACCGCCCTACGTGTTTGTGGTAGGAGGAAAAAAAAAACATTGCCTGGGATAAGAGGATAGAGAAAAATATTTGGCCATGTTTGATAGAAGAAAGAGTTAAAAGGGGTATCGGAAATTTTTTTTCCTATCTAATTTTTTTACACATGGACTAAAGAGTAAAATTTTATCATGGATGAAGTGGGAAATTTTTTTTTCTTCGGAAGAAAAATTTTAGCTTACCAAACATTTTTTTTAACTTATTGGCAAAAAATTCTTCCTATCATATTCTGAGTAAATTTTTTTATTTTCTGGTAAAAAATTTTTTTCCTTTATTAAACGCTCTCATATATATATAGTTTCACTAGAGTCGCCATTGGGCACGAGTTACCCCTGTTTCTGGTCTCTCTATACGGAGACCTAAATCTACTGGTTCTGTTATTAACACATGGTCAACTTAAATAAATAAATAAATAAACTCTACAGAGCCGGGACGAATGAACTTTTTATTAGACCATGAATTAGACGCCATATCTATTCCAAGCATAAATTACTTTAAAAAGATTGATATACATTACTAAAGATAGGTGCGCGTGAGAGTGAATCTAGGGTATTTCCCTAGGTTGGTGGTGAGCAGTGTTGGGAGGGTGAGGTTCTTTGAGAATATTTATAAAGCACCATCTGACTGACGTGTCGTGTTCGACATTTTTTGACACTCTGACACTTCCCGATATTCTAACACGCGTTATAGAAGAGGAAAATATTTGTATATGATATTTTTTTACTCAACATTTTTTTCTCAAAATATTTGTATATGATATTTTCATTTCATAATATGGACCATGCATGAAGAGGAAAAAGTGGTGGGGATAATAGTTTAGGTATTTCAAAATTAAAAATATTATTTTTTAGAATAATTTAGATATTTCAAGATTTAAAATAATGGAATTTAAATAAAAGCATATAGCATAAGCATAGTACGGATAAAACATTCTGCGTATATATATATGGGGCAAGATATTCTTACATCAGTGAAAGAGTTAGAAGTCTTACACCAGTGGAAATTTGAGTTGACCCGACCCGCCCCGCCACCAACTCGCCAAAAACGGGGCAGGACGGGTTGACCTGCAAAAAAATATGGGTTGGAAAAATGAACCCACCCCCTTTTATGGTGGGTTGGTGGGTTGAAAATTAATTAAAATTTAAAAATAAATTATATTTTATGAATTTTGCTAATATTATTTTATTTTATTTCACACTTATCTATATTTTTTTAGTCTCAATCTTAAATGTATACTAATATTTGTCAAACATTCTTTAGGAATTTATATATAGATAACATTTGTCATACATAAGATTGTTATTCTTTATTTTTCCTAGGAAGTACTAAGATAAAGAAAAATTTGGATATCACAAAAATTTAAGGATTAATGAAATACTACCTAATTGTAAAAAAAAAAAATTATAACCCGGCGGGTTGAACCCGTTTTGACCCACTTCTAGGCGGGGCGGGTTGAGGTGGGTTGGTGGATTGAAAACCTCAACTCAACCCGCTCCGTTTTGGCGAGTTGGCGGGTTGACCCGCCGGGCTCAACCCATATTGCCACTAAGGGTGTTCATTAACCGATCCAAACCGATTTAAACTGCGGTGACCGAACCGAAAAACCGATAACCGAATAAACCGAAAACCGAAAATCGATTAAAAACCGCAAAATTTAATTGGATTGGATCGGTTTTTGGATGGGTTGATGAAAACCGATCCAATTCAAACCGATCCAATATATTAATTCCCCTCTACCTATTTGGGTCTTTCCCTAATCATAGCCTAAAAATTTCTAAACCCAAGACTCGTTAACCCATCAACTAAACTCAAGAAAAAATCTAATCACATCTTATCAACAAAATTTTATCTTTGTAGAGCTTCATATCTCATTGCAAAATAAAATAAAATTATATTATAGTTTACTAATGCTTTATATTTCAAAAAAAAAATTACAAATTCAATATATGCAAAATATGTTATTTGCATAATAATCATGAAATAAATTTTAAGATTTTCAAAAAACCGAAAACCGATCCAATCCAAACCGAAAAAAGTTGGATTGGATCAGATCGGATTTGAAAAAAAATCAAAACCGAATGGATGATTATATGATCAAACCGAAGAGATTGGATTGGATAATTTTTGCTTCCAAAACCGATCCAATCCAGACCGCGAACACCCCTAATTGCCACCCCTAGATTCACTTATTTCCAATGACTCACATTACTAAAAAATTTGAGCCTTTAGATATAAGTGGGATTAACGGACAAGATTAAAAGTGTAACTTACACTGTAAAAAGATCCTGACCTATATATATATATATATATATATATATATATATATAGGGATTTATATTTCTGCAGCTGTTGTACATGCAGCAATTAAATACTTGCCATATATATATCTTTAAAAGCATTAAATGCGAGGAATCATAACCATACAAAGGATGAAAACATTAAATGCGGAGAATCATAATCATACACCTGGCGTTGTTGTACGTAAAGCGGCTGCAGAAATATATATATATATAGGCAGGATATTCTTACACCGGTGTAAGAGTTAGAAGTGGCTAGGGATGTGCATGGGTCGAACCGAACCGGTTTTTTTGAAAATTCGAACCGAATTGGTTTAAATGGTTCGGTTCGGTTCAAAACTGGTTCGGTTCGAAGCGGTTCGGTTCGGTGGGAAACGGTTTAGTTCGGGACCGGTTCAGGTCGACCCTCTTTTGAAAAGAAAAAAAATTAAAAAATTAAAAAATAAAGTTATAAAAATCAATTTGGTTCGGTTTGAAAATGATTCGGAAACGGTTTGGTTCGGTTCAAAATGGTTCGGTTCTTAAACTGGTTCTAAAAACCGGTTCGATTCTTGAACTGGTTCTTTAAAAACCGGTTCGGTTCATGAACTGATTTTTAAAAACTGGTTATTTTAGGAGGCGGTTCGGTTCAGTTTTTTGGTTATTTTGCACACCCCTAGAAGTGGCAGGATATTCTTATACCGGTGTAAGAGTTAGAAGTCTTACATTCAATCTTGACCATTGATTCACTTGTATCCAATGACTCACAATACTAAAATATTTGAGCCATTAGATATAAATGAAATTAACGGATAAGATTGAAAGTGTAACTTACACTGATATAAAATGATCCTGACCCATATATATATATTGATTAATAAAAGTTTAAGTGGGGCTAGAGTCTAGACAGTATCCAGCCAGGGTCAGGGAAGACCCCTAACTTCTTTAAGAATTTTTAGGAGTGATTGCATATCACCCACCAACAAAGTTCTTATATCACCAGTGAATTTTTAGGAGTAATTACATATCACCCATCAACAAAATTCTCATATCAGGGAATGAGGTTTGAATCCATTAATTTCTTTTTTTATTCTTAATAAATTGTTTGTTACTTGTTATGTCACTTTTCTTATTCTTATTTTCTACTTTGTCTTTGCTTAAATAGGCTTTTGCTAAATGTTATGATGAATACAAGTTGACAACCGCGCTAGTTGATTATTTTTAAAATGTGTTAAATTGTTTTGTTACTTGTAAGAACTTGAACAATTTCAACCTTGTGGGAAGGCAATTCACAATCTATTTTTTTCGAGGTATAAAAATGAAAATTAATATGAAACTTGAAAATGAATATCAATTCATAAAAATGTAGGGATATAGAACAATTGGCTCTGTCTATATTTTTTAAATCAAACAAAAAATGTTATATTTTTTAAATATTCAATGTAAACTTTTACACAGTTTTTAAATCCATGATTTCATTCCGTTCCATTTCTAAACATCGTCAAACTTAGAGGTTGTTTGTATTGACTTACGAAGAAAGTCATTTTTATCACTTTTTTATTTTAAAAGTGTTTTTTATAAAAGTTACAGCTATTTAAATTTTTAAAAAAATTTATTTTTTGAAAAAAATATTTGACTTTTGACTTCTGCTTTTTTAAAAGCTAAAATTTTTAGCTTTTGAAAAAAGTAGATTTTTGACTTTTTATATAACTTATGCTTTTTTTTTTTTTAAAAGCAGGTATCCAAACAGACTTTTTTCGAGAAGTGATTTTTTTTTTATAAAAAAAAGCAGCTTCTGAAGAAAAAAAGCCCATCCAAACGGGCTCTTAGTCAACTAGCATTAAAAAAAAAATTAAATAAGTCGTTGTTGTATGTTATTTTTAGTCTCCTAAAAACAGTCATTTAAATAGCATTGTACCTTTTTCATTTAAAAATGAACTAAATCACAATAAAATTTAAGAAAAAGAGAATTTTGACCGCTTCATTAGCATTGAGTGATATAGAACAGTTGTATATTATTATTATTTTGGATAAATAGAACAATTTGTATATAAAACAACTGTTGCCACTTAATTCCAATTGAGTTTTTTTTGTAAAATAATCTTTAAGTTCTGTTCATCCTGTTGAAGCCCATGATGTATAATCTGCAAAGGCTTGTTTGTTGTTCCTTTAGGAAGGAAAGTGTCCAAAACTGCAATACTTTCTTTATGGGAATAAACTTCTTGTTTCTTAATGAGTTCGTTTTTTTTACCGTTAACGTAGATAATTATCTACACTGAGTTTAAAATGATATCGTTTTGAGGCAAAAATCAATGTAATTTTATAATTATAATTTAT